CTAAACCAGAGCAGCAGGAGAAGGAAAGATGTCCCGTTCCACAGCGGGGGAGGGGGGAAACATATGGCCGCAAGAGAAGGAAGGATGTCCCGTTCCTGTATCGTTATGCCTATTTAATTGTATATAAACTGAACCAGGGGGGGGAGGAGGGGGGGGGAGGGGGGGGGGGCCGCCGGGGCGCAACCATATATACCCTAACTCCTATACGGCTATACCCTCTAACCCGTGCCCTAAATCCTACATGAGTTAGGGTATAAGGGGCTTACAAATCACCAAACCTACAACCTAAAACTTAAATCCTATGTCCTATACCCTGTGCTTTTGAATCCTTTATACCCTATACGCCGTCACGTATACTCTAACTATCCTGGACTCCACCCCATACCCTCATCCCCATAGGCTTTATACCCTATACCTACACCGCATGTATACTCGACCTTAAACACAAAGTCCTATACCTTATACCTAGATTATCGTAGTTCAAGGTACCACCTGAATCATCGAATTTGCTGAGGTTCGACGTGCAAGTGAAGCATCTCCAGGAAGCGCTTCGAACGGTGGTGCAGGAGGGGGGCGGGTGCTTTTTCTTAGACTAGAATTTGGGTGTAGCGTACAGTGCAACCATAATGAGGAGCAGCAAGGAAGTCTATTGAAACCTGAGTGACTGGTAGTTACTGTTATGGGGGATACCCAAATCATAATCATGACTCCTAATATAGAAACCCTACATTCTACTAGGTACTTGGGACCCTTGGCGCTTCACAATAGTATAGGATCCGAACATACGGCTTGCTACAACGATCCTGTGTTGTGCGTGGGCGTCGTAGTGCTCTCGCACTGCAGGGGCCTGAGGAATTACCAACATACTTTACTTTCTCAGGGCTCCTGATTATACTTATACTATAAGGTACCCGAAACTCCATTCAAATTATGCAAGCCCCTGCAGATTAATCTGACAACGGGCTTTGTGGCCGTTGGAGGCCAATGTAAGAACCTTCTGACTTGCTTAACAGGGCCTTCGAACAAGGATGTACAGGGGGCCATCAGCTTAAATTGTGATAGAAGCGAAACAAGGGAATGCAGCAGCCCGATGTTGACCCACGGTATGTCCCTTAACGGAGTAACCTCACACCCGTATGACCAGTTTCACTCACAGTCTCTCCGAAGCAGTCAGTGCAGGAGTTGGTGCCAAACCCTTAGATCCTAAACATTCCTACACGCTAAACCCTAAACCCTAAGGGGCTAGGTACACTGACTAAGTCAAAAGAGCCGGGAAATAGCTTTTTCAGGCTGCAGACTCTTTGCACCTTCTATCGGTTCATGCTGATCTGATTGTCACTAGTCTTGAATGTGGCACGGCTATGAGATGCTGTTCATGATGGGCCGCAGCGTTTCTTTCTAAGCTACTGCTACTTGGTTGTTGTTCTCGACTGTCGCAACTCCGGGATATCCATGTACGTATGTATGTATGCATGTATGTGTATATATGGACTACACGTGTATACATACTTACGTACAGAAAAATAAATAAATAAATATATATATATATATATCCTGGACCCTCGTTTGATACACTTATTTCTGCTCGTGGGTTTTCTGCTCGATTAGGGGTTCCCCGAAAAACCGCGATTATCGAAAAGCGCACGTGGGTTTACAAAAATGCACGTACTAAGCTTGTCCATGTGGGAAAGTGCACGTGCTCAGTTCTCACATGACATACATCGGTGCACAACTACCGCCTTAATCAGCTCTTTGCGGCTGGACTTTTTTGCTTGTGGGCAATTCTGCAGCTTGGCGATCAAAGATCCTTTTGGATTCTGGCACTTTGGCGATCACAGTTCCTTCTGGGCTCGTCGGAATTGCCTCTTGTAGTATCTCAAACTTCGCTGGATGGTCCTGTTTGCCAATGTCATAGAATGGCATCTTCTTGCAATCCTGCTTACACGGCCCACATAATCTTCATCTGTCCAGCAGCTGTAACCTAGGCTGCAGCTATTGTAGCACGAAGGGGTGTAGAGAGTTTAGGATACAGCCTAGAACAAAAAAAGTTTTTCGAGGTTTTAGGGTCTCAGGGCTCAGATATGTCGGCTAAGGGGCAAAGAGGGTTGAGGATGTATTCTGCTCCAGCCTCGATCTGGTGATCCATGTCCAACCTTGGAACAAGACAGATAGAGAGACTTTATAAAGATATATTGAACAGCCGTATAGAAGCAAGTTCATACTGAAACCCGGGGAAACACGAGGCTCCACCCTAAGCCCTGATCCCAAAATCGAACTATTTCCCGTCCCAGCTGCATAAGATGAAGTTGCATATGGCACTTCGGGCGGAGCCGGTACATTGCCCACTGAAGCTTGGCAGTCATGAGAGCCAGTTGTTGGTATCCTTCCTGGTATCGAAGATTGAGGGGCCGGATTCTATGGGAAATTGCAGAGGCTAGCTCTTAGAAGGTTTTGAAAATCCTGCTTGACTTTAACATAGCTGGGCTGCCATCATCTTCCATCCGGCCTCAGAGGCCAGCTTTGCATCTAGCAGATTCAGCCATATGCCGTTCTCAAAGAGGATTCGCCAGTGCAGGTTGATCATATCCAGGGTCCATTGCAAAACCGAAAACATGTCTCGGTGATTGTCCTCGGCTTCGTGAAAGGCAGGTCCATCAAGATCATTGATGATCAATATTAATCAGCTAGCTGTTGATAGCTAGGACCTAGGTTCTAGCCAAGCCTCGGGAATGTCATGTTCGTAGGCATGACACTGATCTTGAAGCCAGGCCAGAAGCACAGCTGTGTCAAAACCCTTCCCAGCCCCGGTTGGAAAATCCTGTAGCCTCGTTCGGACGATGCGGGGCCCTGTAAACCCAAATCCTAAAAACAAACTACATAAGCCCTACAACACTAAACCATAAAATCCTAAACCCCTAGCTAACACCCTAAACCCCTAAACACCCCGTATATAAGAACTAGAACATCTAGTATATGTTATATATATACATAGGGGTTTAGGTATGTTCATTATGGGGCTTAGGCATGGGATCACATCGATAGAAAACGAAACTGTATACCCACCACAATACTTGACCATCTTGAAAGCCTTCAGGGAAAACTCAGTGATGCTCGTTGTTTTCTGCATCGTGGTGCACCAGAGTTTGTACTGACAGAAAGCCTCAGATAATCGTAGTGGCATGCCTCCTTCACCGAAGAGTCCAAGGCGGCACATGAGCACCACCGAGCTGGCAGCCATGTCTTTTCCCCAGCCACTAATTGCATAAGTGTGGGCCGCATCCGGTCGGAAACTTTTGTGGTTGAAGGAGGGAAGCTTCAGGAAGGGGATCTCGTGACCCGGTTTGAAAGGGCTGTCGGCAAGCCCCTCATCATCTCTCGGCCAGCATCGTGTCGCACTGGCTGGGCCCAAGTCGAACCAAGCCTTACTATTGATCAAGGGGTCGAGGAGTCTAGAATATATTGGCTCAAAAACACTGCTTAATTATGTACCTTCCTCTAGATCTTGCAAAAAGCCTATGTAATATACTGGGGGCAACATACCATGAATCGGTAACTCTATATTTGCTACAAATTACTTGTTAAGCCTAGTGACTGGGTTCTTGCAGAGGTGACAGACCACCTTTGAAGTGAAACCTGTTTTGAGGTGACCAGCCTTCCGGAGATAGGGCCAATCCCCCTTGATGCATATTGGTACGAACCGCAAGCAGAAACTGTGTTGGCCACATTGCACCTCGTTGCACATGAAGCTGAAGCACATAGTCATCATATAGTGCATTTCCCAAAAAGCTTAAACACACAACATGGATACAGCCGAAAAACTGAAAGGCCCGTCTCATAAAGGCTATTCAAGTCTTGTACCATTGCTTCGTGCAAGCAATCCAGAGTTTCGTCCCCGTGGTACAGCTCGGAAGGCACCACAGTAAAGAGTAGGCGGCTCGTAAAAGAGTGCCTGCATGTTATTAAAGTAGGTTTGAAAAATGAACACATGACTGGATGAGGATCAATATCTGACGAGCCCAAACAACAAAACAAGCTTGATCAGCGGGGGGGCCCTGACATGTTGGTCACCAGCGGCCCTTTGTAATTGATGAGTGGCTGGTAACTCACCACCATCAGAGGCCTTTTCACAAGGCCACGGCCCTCATCGCCGTGTATTTGTATTGGCACACACAGCTCGGGGTTGAAAGACCGAGAATAAAGATCCAAGTCCGGCCGACTGAATCTATACCGATGCCAAAACTGCCGAAACATTGGTCGCCAAAGCTCTTCCTGGGAGAGGTTGTGCCCTCCCAAAAGCATGCTGCCACCAGTCTTGAAGCATTCTCGGCACCAGGATGACAGGAAAAGTACAGGATATGGAACAGTCATAGCAGTCGACTTTCCAGACAACACTCGCACCGGAGTCGGCACCTCGCTGATTTCCACAGGGAATGTTCTGCCCTCGGCATGAATCAGCGTATGAAGACTCCGGCACTCGTTCTTCTTGCTGCGGGCACATCTAGCAATTTTCCCCAAAGCCGGGTCAACGATGCCTCGGATCAAGCTGGCCATGACAACGACAAATTGAAGACCGCCTTGTAACTTATTCAATTAATGTGTACACTTGGTCAACCAACCCTCAATGAACGAGCCGTTGTGCGTGGGGATTTCGGTTTTGGTCTAGTGTTATGTCTCCCATTTTATAAAATAAGTTAAGCGACCATGCTTTCGGAAAGCATTGTGTGCTACCTGAGCCAAGCGAGTCACTCGCTTGGCAGAGTCAGCCTGGGCTTGTTGTAGGCCGGGTTTGGGTTTAGGGGTGAGTGTTTGGGCTGAATTATGGTTTAGGCGGGCTTGGGTGCAGGGTTTAGGTTTGGGGGTGTTATGGGTTTTGCAGTTTAAGCTAGGACCTAGGGCTTCAACCCGGCTTAGCAGATCATGTTTTTTTCTTGTGTTGGCGAGGGTTGCAACATTTAGGAGTTTAGGTTTGGGGATCGAGGGATGGCTGCCGGAAGCTACATATGCTAGATATATGTCTAGGGTCTCCCTGCTCGAATCCAACGAACAACTCCTCTGCAAGGTCGTCGCACTCGGAGTCGCTGGTGTCATCTGATCCTGGCAAGGACCCAGTTGATGTAAGTTCTTTATAAGACCTTTGTTTCATGTGAAGGCAGGGTCTGTAGACCTGTGTACAGACATCTATATCTATAGAATATATAAACTACTCATAATGTCATGCAGACATGCAAGCATACACACTGGCAATCAAAGACGAACAAATAAACATACATGTATGCATCCATACATACACACATACATTCTTCTGCACACATGGCATACATGCATGCATACATACATACATACATACATACATACATACACACACACACATCATGGGCACACACATACACAACATACAAAACACACATAACATACACAACATGCTTAGCACAACTGACATACATACATACATACATACATACATACATACCTACATACATACATACATACACACATACATACATACATACATACATACATACATACATACATACATACACACACACACACGTAAATACACACATACACAGCATAACATCAAAACACATACCACAATATAACATAACAGAGCACAATCAGACGAGAAATAATAACATGCAATGAAGTGCCTCAGTTGCATTTAAAAGCCATGCATACATACGTGCATACATCCATGCATGCATGCGGACATGCATACATACATACATACATACATACATGCATGCATGCATGCATACATGCATACATGCATACATGCATACATGCATACATACAAACAGACATACATGGGTACATACATATACATATGCAAGCATGCATACATACGGGCATACAGACATATATGTATATCTATGTGTGTATATATATATATAGGTATCTATATATATATATATATGTACATATATTATATATAGGTATACACACACATATGCATGCATGCGTGCATACTAGCTTCACACAGGGTTGAGATTCCGGCCTTCATCTGCTTCAGCAGCTTCGTCTAAAGCACCTGCGAGGGGCGTGGGCTCATATTCGGATCATCCTACAATACATACTTGTAGGAGAGTGGGACACTGGCATTGCACACAACAACTTCGGATGCTCTGATTCGACGACACGTGTTTCCGGTCGCTCACAAACGAGTCTCGATTCCCCAAAGGCACATAATTAGAAATGAGCAGGGATGCATGTTGCATCGGCTCGCACAACAACGATTCACATGCTGTCCTAGAATCCTATCAACTTGCTCCGGCACACTATCTATCATCATTTGAGGCTTGACAAAGCATGCTTTCGTTGCACGGCAAAAGCTAAGCTTCAGCCAGCTCCTTCGGAGCTGTCCCTAGCCACGACCTAGGAATCTAGGCATTGTCCTTGGATTTCTTGTCCTTCTTGGCTTTCGGCTCCTTTTTCTCCTTCTTGCATTTGGGCTCCTTGGCCTCTTTCTTGCTCTTGCCCGATGGCTTGCCACCTCTGCAGGAGCCCGGCGTGGATCCGGTTTTGGTCGGCTTGATGGACCTTCGTGGCACGGCGATGGCAGCAGCTTGGGGCTTTCGGCTGTTATTTAAGCTAGCTTCTGCCCAGTAATTAGGTTGGGGTTTTTACTTTCGAGGCCTAGCCGTTTTGGTTTTAAGGTTTGGCTTCAACCTATCAACAAACCCAGACCAGATACTCCCTAAGAGAGCCGAAACCCCGAGACCCTTCCCAAGCTTCCCCGAGGATTCCCCTAAACCCTAAACCCTAAACCTTTTTTATCCTGGCAGATTCGGTTTGGCTCTCATCTCTGCCATCAATTCATTTTTTCGTGGGTTTTTGAGGGGTTTTGCCTGAGCTTAGGGAATTTGGGCTTCATGGGCTTAGGCTTTCGGGTCTGTGCAGGATTTCGGGTTTAGGCCGGGGTTGTAGGGCGGGGCCTAAGGTTTTGGGGTCTAGGGTTTAGGGTTTAGGGAAGGTGTTGGGGTTCGGGGTGCTGGCCGCCGCGTGAGGGGTTGGTTCGCTCTCGAATCAAATCAGAAGCTCTAACCCTAGACCCTAAATCCTCAACCCTAAACCCTAACCCTAAGCCCCAAATCCCAAACCCTAACCCTAAACCCCAAAGGCCCCAAACCCAAACCCTTAACTACAAACCCTAAACCCAAACTAATTTAAACTTCTGGGGAACAGGGTTTGTGATTCCCGATTAAAGCAAAATACTTGGCACGGATGACATAGTTCGCAAGCAGCACATCCTGTCTCGTGATGGCGGCATATGTCGTCTTCAGGTTCTGCTCGAATGTCCTTCGTTAATGCCAACACCACACGACCTGCGAAGCCACAACACTGTGCAGCGATTATTGGAAGTAAAGTGGCTCGTCCGTGGTCGACGTGATGGCCTGTGCTTGCATGTTCGTAAGATAGGTATAGTTCTTGTTCATGTCAGCGAGGATCAGTTTCAGCTGCTCCCGAAGCCTTGGTTCTAAGTGTATGTGCAAAGGAGCTGCCCAGCTAAAGTCCACTCCCCACCCCAAAATGCGGCCTGGCATCGCCTGGGCTCGGCTGTTCGTGGGATCCAATCGCTCCTGCAGGAGCACAGAAACTTGAAACAGCGAGGAAAGGGGTCCGGCGAGAAGGGTGTAAAGTACACAGAGACAATTGCAGACCGGGGTCGATTGCATCTTCACACTGGTCGATCTTCCGCCCCAGCACCTCCACGAAGCTGCCAAGTATCGTCACGGCAGAACCATTAGCCGCCACGGCTGGGAACACGATCCTGATCACAGGGCACCGTTTGCCGATTGAGTACTCGACACACCACTTGTTTATTAGGCTATTGTCGGTTGCTTCATGCTTTATCGTGCAGTTGAAAGGGGCATATGTTTAGGCCCAAGTTCGGATTTTGGATTTGGGGCATATTAGGGCTTTCTGTCTATTCAAGGGGCGTACAGGCTTTTGGATTTAGGCTTCAGCTTGTTTACAAATTAAAGTTTGTTTAGTCTAGTCTGTTCCACGAAGTGCAAAGGTCTACTATAGTGCCTCGGGCTTGTTCTTGTGCCTCCTGCACGGCTGGGTTTTCGGGTTTAGGGTTGGGGTGTGGGGTTTAGGGGTTGGGGCTTGTTAGTTAGAAGGGTGCATGCTTTGTTTAGGGTTTGGGGTTTTGTTTCTTAATCACCTAAATCAAGGGACCGGAAGGAAGAGGATTGGCCCGATGCTGCTGCAGCATTCTCAGCCGAGGTTGTTGCTGTCCCCTCGGCGAGGATGGCTTCATCTGGTGCCGATAAGCCGGGGATGTCCGAGTCCATCAAGGCACCAGTCTCGTCCTGAATTGCTAGTGTACGAATAGGTCACATCTACAATTAACTATCGTGAATATAAGTTGTTAGGCTGTTGGCTAGTTGAAAACCAGATGGGCTCCTCGGCCTCGATGGACCCACTGAGCTCTGTGGTAGCCCCCGTCTCATCCACGATCTCGAACGACTCCGACAGCACGAGTTTTGCCTCTTGCTCGCCGTGGATGGGGTTCTTTCGGATGAAATTTTTGGATTTCGCCCACTCGAAAGCATTGTCCACCATCTTCCTCGATGCAGCAGAATCAGAACTAGCAAAACCGGCTTGTTGAACAAGCACACAGCATGGTGCGAGATCACACCTGAAATTCACTGTGCAGATAAGCTACTTCGTCCACTGTGCCACAGTCAACAAGTAGTGGCGTGTGTACCACCCTCCGGACTTGTTCTTGCCCAGCAGGGTTTTGTGGTATTTTTTCACGACGATCTCCAAGCTCTCGAACGAGCCATGTTTCTTAAGCAATTCCCGGAGTTTCTCTCCTTAAGTAGGCAATTCCATGTACGGAGCTGTGTACAACAAGTCAGCATCGTGAGATTCCAGACGTGTTGCGGCCACCCTTTTGATTGTAGAGCTGGAGGGCTTCTGGGGAGCACTTCAGTGCCCCACAAGCCCGGGGCTGAAAATATCGCCGAAGCCTCGCATGCTCAGACGACACAATATCTACTGTATCCTCACAACCCCAAGCAGCCCAACTTGAATCAAGAATCCGGAAGTACGTGGGGGATTGCGATCTCTTGCACTTCTTCTCGGCCGGGCTGTCGCTCAATGCAGCCGATGAACCAGAATGGGCCTCAAAGGGATTTCGTTCTGAGAGGCTTCGGACAACCCAATTAAAAGCCTTGCAACACAACTGCCTGCATCAGTCCCAACCGAGTGGCCAAAGAAGCATCGGGACTGGTAGGGCGAGATCTCTTCGGAGGGGCCACATTCACCAATCTTCCTGACTCTCCCTGCACAGGCCCTGGCATCGACGGTGACGGCGATGGTGCGGCTGCTGCAGGAGGCAGTGCAGCAGAACTCTGTCTCCGGAGATAAGCCGGGGATTGTGTCGGGGTGATCGGGGGTGGGGATCGGTGAGGCGTGGTGCGGGCCTCGCTGTTCAGGCTCTCTTGGCTTGCAAGACGTAGGGTCTGGCTGCTCTGGCCCCAGGGATTTTGAGCATCCTGACTGCTTGCGCGGAAATGCTTCAAAGTCGCCTCTCCAGCAGCAACAGCAGGATGTCCAGCATTCGGGCCCGGAGCTGGAGCACCTCGTACTAATCTAGCTGCCATTAAAAGACATACCCCGAAGTCTCAACAGGCAAAGGATCGTTCGAGAACTGAAAACACAATTGTCTTCACAAACCAACTCGGTCTATTCTTGCTAGCAAGGTTTCACTGCTAATGTGATGATCTAGCATTGGAACGAACCTGCCATGTATGCGTATTGGATACTGCAGGAACTAGACTCTGTAAGTTGTATAATTACTTCTAGCTTTAGTGGCTCGAAGATATGGTACTATGTCGGTGCTAGATCGTACAGTACCGAACTACACTATCTGTTGACGATGTACTCTATAAAATTCTATATATTTAGGGCTTCACATAGGACCGGAGATTTTGCGAATATAGGTCCTAAGTCATGACTGAGGATCACTGTACGAGTGCAAGTCCAGTCCATTTAAGGCTTAAGGCTTAGGATTTGGGGTTTGGGCTTATATAGGATTTAGGGACTTAGGGTTTGGGGTTTAGGGTTAGGGTCGACTGGGCCAAAGATGCTTGCAGCTGGGCAATCCGTGCCTTGGCGGCCTCGGTATGCGAGCAGCAGAAGCTACATAAGCACGAACCCACGAGTATAATGAAAGGCCTAGCCACTGCAATCTTGTTTGCCACATCCTGTGTCGCTGCGGGGCCAGTCATGGCAGTCATTGCCGGCCGACAACGAAACACCCAAAAGGCCGTGAAACAAAGCTGTCCCAGCTAGCTGCTAGCTGAAGCTTGGTCTCTTCGATCGGAATCAGATATTGAAGCAGTGCAACGAGCATGAACGGCAAATTGCTCGGCGGCACAATTTCGACACCATGCATGTTTTTTCGACTATATGCTGCTACTCGCTTTTCTCTATATACATCAATTCCTGTTTCAAGGGGGTCGAGGCGAAAGTGCCCGGAGCTTTCGGGAAAGTGTTCGAGAAGTTCGGGCAGATTTTAGAAATGCGCCCGTTTGCGGGGAAATGCGCCCGGATGGCGGGAAAATGCGCCCGGAATGCGGGTACCGAGTTTTGCCCCAACCCCCTTCAAAACCGGAAAATGCCCGAACATAAGCCAAAAGTGCTCGAGACCAGTAGATGCTAGCTCCGTAGTGCAATCAGCTGCTGCCGTAGATCTCGAAATCGCATGCCTCGGAGCCCGGGAGAGGAAGCCAGAAGTGGCTTTGGGCCGGGTTACGACCTAAACCCTGGCCCTAAACCGTAAACCCTACAAACCCACGGTGGCCACTCAGCGGGGGTTTGGGCTTCGAACTGGGCTTCCTATCACATGCTTCCGTGTCGGTGCCACACACAGAGACCCGGACCCACCCCAGACCCCGGACCCCCAGACACACAGACCCGTCTACCCAACAACCCAGATTGTATCTACATGTGTTGCAACTTAAGCTCAAGTTGGGCCTGGTGTGGCAGGGAAAGAGAACCTGCATTAATGGCTTGTCGTGGCTGTGGTGGCAGTGGTGGTGGCGACGGTGGTGGTGGT